TAATCTGCCTCACTGCAACCTCTGCCTCCCTTGGGTTCAAAGCAATTCTCCTGCCTCAGCCTCCCAATAAGTGGGACACAGGTGCCCTGCCACCATGCCTGGCTAATTTTTGAAATTTTTGGTAGAGATGGGGTTCACCGTGTTAGCCAGGATGTCTCATCTCTTGGACCTGGGTGATTTGCCCGCTGCTCGGTCCCTCCAAAGTGGCTGGGATTACAGGGCATGAAGGCCCCACCGCGCCCGGCTCTTTTCTTTTTCTTTTTTCTTTTTTTTTGAGACAGAGGTTTTGCTCTGTCACCCAGGCTGGAGTGCAGGGCGCATCTTGGCTTGCTGCAGCCTCTGCTCCCAGGTTCAGGGTGATTTTCTGCCCGTTTCAGCCTCCCAGTAGCTGGGATTACAGCGCGGCGCCCACCATGTCTGGTTATTTTGTAATTTTAGGTAGAGACGGTTCTCCACCATGGTGGCAGGCGAGCATCAGAAACCCTGGATTGTATTACATGGAGCATTCTCTGGCCCATTAAGAGCCCACTAGAATTCTAAAGGATGTTGCCACAGAAATCTGTGTTTTCATCAAGCCTCTAAGGGGTCTCGGAATTCCTGACCTTATAAGTGATTCTGCCGACTGAGCGCTCCAAATCTGAGGATCTATAGGCATGAGAAGCCAATGCCCAGGTAATCTTGCCTTTTTTTTTTTTTTTTTTTTTGAGATGGGAGGTTTGCTCTGTCACCCAGGCTGGGAGTGCAATGCATTGATCTTGGCTTCTGCAACTTCACCTCCTGGGTTCCAGCGACTTCTCCGTGCCTCGGCGCTCCTTGAGTAGTTGGTTTAACAGGTGCGGCCACCCACGTCCGGCTAATTTTTGGTTTGACGGGGTGTGTTGTGGAGGCTGGAGTGCAGTGGTGCTATCACCACTCACTGCAGCCTCAACCTCTCAGGCTCTAGTGATTCTCCTGCCTCAGTTTCCTCATTAGCTGGAACTACAAGTGCACGCCACCACGCACAGCTAATTTTTGTATTTTTGGTGGAGATGGGGTCTCACTATGTTGCCCAGGCTGGTCTTCAACTCCTGGCCTCTTGCTTTGGCCTCCCGAAGTGCCTGTGGGGCATGCAGTTCTTTAAGCTTTGACAGGCTCATGTGGTTGTGTAGTCACCAACAGAATCAAAATATGGATATGTCCAACCACTCCTAAAACCCCTCATCTGCCCTTTTGGGGTCATGCCCATCCCCCACCCCACCCCTGGCAACCACAGGTCTGTTTTCTGTCCCTATAGTTTTGCCTTTTCCAGAATGTCTTGTAAATGGAGTAATGTAGTTATTATCATTATAATCATCGTCATCATCATCATCATCATCATCATCATTATTTTTATAAAGATGGGGTCTCACCATGTTGCCCAGGCTGGTCTCAAACTCCTGGGCTCAAGCAATTCTCCCACCTCGGCCTCCCAAAGTGCTGAGATTACAGGCGTGAGCCACCGCACCCGGCTGAATACTGTAATTTTTGAGCCTAGCTTCTTTCACTCAGCATAATGCAGTTGAGGTTCATCCATGTTGTGTGTATCGATAGCAGTTCCTCTTCATTGCCGAGTGATATTCCACTCTGTGGATGGACCACAGCTCACTTACGCACGTACAAGCTGAAGGACATTTGGGTTGTTTACAGTTGTTGGCAATTATGAACAGAGCTGCTGTGAGTGTGTGCATACAGTTTTTTTGTGTGTGTGAAAATAAGTTTTCATTTATCTCGGGTCAGTACCAAGGAATAAAATTGTTGGGTCCTATGGGAAGTGTATATTTAATCTTGCGGGAAGTTGGCAAACCATTTTCCAAAGTGGCTGCTCGGGGCTTGCATGCCACCAGCAGCCTGTGGGAGTTCTGGCTGTAGAGCGACGACGTGAGTCCGGGTCTGAGAGATGATGCTGAGCTCCTCGGCATCAAGCCACACCCGTCCTGAAATATAACAACAATTGTGGCGAGAGCTCTCTTCTGTCCACCAGTCGACACTGTGCGTGCAACTATTAGAAAAAAAAGAAGGAGGAAGCTTTTCTGGTGCTGGTGCGGTGTGATCTTCCAGATGTATTGCTGTATTGCTAGGGGAAGATGCAGGCTACAGCAAAACCGTGCACAATTTGCATAAAGAGGGAAGGACACATGGATTACAGGCAAAGTGGCTCCCACCTGTAATCCCAGCACTTTGCGAGGGCAAGATGGATGGATCCCTTGAGCCCAGGAGTTCGAGATCAGCCAGGGCAACATGGTGAAACCCCGTCTCTACCAAAAATACAAAAATTAGTTGGGCATGGTGGTGCGTGCTTGTGGTCCGAGCTACTAGGGCCGCTGAGGTGGGAGGGTCATTTGAGTCCAGAAGGTTGAGGCTGCAGTGAGCTATGCTGGCACCACTGCACTCCAGCCTGGGTGACAGAGTGAGACCCTGTCTCAAAAAAAAAAAAAAAAAAAAAAAAAGAACAAGAAAAAGAACGGAAACTGGGAGGTGAGAACGGGACTGGGGAGGGGACGGGCAGAGTCGTGGTAGGGAAGCGACTGCTCACTGCCATTTGGTCCTTTTTGAATTTTGGAACTTGTGAACGCCTTACCTTTTCAAAACAAACACGTCCGATTCATTCACTCTGCTAACAGGTTTTTCAGGCCATGCCCCGGTGTTGACCAAATAAGATTCCTGCCCTTGGGGAGTCACAGACTCTTCCATCCATCCAGGAGACAGTCAACAAGACAAGGAAAATACAGCCAATGGCAGGTATCTGCTATGGAGAAAAATAAAGCTGGTGAGGGAATGAGGGAGATGGAGGGTAGGAAGTCGAAGCTCTTATTTAAATCCAGCGGCCAAGGGAGGCCCTCCAAGGAATGACGTTTGGGGCTAAGACTTGAGAGAGGGGAGGGAATGAACCATGTGGACATCTGGGGGAAGCGTGTTCTAGGCAGAGGGAACAGCAAGTGCCAAGGCCCAGAGGTGGGTCGGAACGGCTCTTTGAGGCCAGTGTAGCTGGAGCAGAATGAGCTGGGGGAGAGTGGAAGGGAAGATGGCGGGGGGGATGGTGGCAAGGAGATGGATCAGGATCTTATGAGCCACTGTAGGGACGTAGGCTTTTACTCAGAGGGAGATGGGAGCCATGGAGGGTTCTGGGCAGGGGAGGGATAATCTGACTTTTTTTTTTTTTTTAAAAAAAAACATGGAGTCTCACTCTGTTGCCCAGACTGGAGTGCAGTGACGCCATCTCGGCTCACTGCAACCTCCGCCTCCCAGGTTCAAGCAATTCTCCTGCCTCAGCCTCCTGAGTAGCTGGAATTACAGGCATGTGCCACCACGCCCAGCTAATTTTTATATTTTTAAAGTAGAGACAGGGTTTCACCATGTTGGCCAACTCCTGACCTCAGGTGATCTACCTGCCTCGGCCTCCCAAAGTGCTGGAATTACAGGCATGAGCCACCACGCCCAGGCCAGGTTTCAATTTAATTTAATTTGTTGTTATTATTATTGTTTAGAGACAGGGTCTTACTCTGTTGCCCAGCCTGGAGTATAGTGGTGCCATCTTGGCTCACTGCAGCCTCGACCTCCTGGACTCAAGCAATCCTCCCACCTCAGCCTCCTGATGACTTAGGTGTTAACAGGATCCCTGTGGCTGCATGTAGGGGAAAGACAGGTCCCTTCGGGCACGCGGCAAGGACCCAGGCAGGGAGACCCGTGAGGAGGTGACTGCATGGTCCAGGCCATCCGTGATGGTGGCTGGACCAGAGTGGGGACTTTTTTTTTTTTTTTTTAAGAGAGAATCTTGCATTGTCACACAGGCTGGAGTGCAGTCGCATGATCTTGACTCACTGCAGTCTCCACCTCCTGGATTCAAGTGATTCTCATGCCTTAGCCTCCTGAGTAGCTGGGATTACAGGTGCATTCCACCACACCCAGCTAATTTTTGTATTCTTTAGTAGAGACACCACCATGCCCAGCTAATTTTTGTATTTTTTGCAGAGATGGGGTTTTCACCATGTTGCCCAGGCTGTGTCAAACTCCTGGGCTCAAGTGATCTGCCTGCCTTGGCCTCCCAGAGTTCTGGGATTACAGGCATAAGCCACCTTGCCCGGCCAATTTTTCTTTTTTTTTTTTGAGATGGAGTCTGTCCGTCGCCCAGGCTGGAGTACAGTGGCGCAATCTCAGCTCACTGCAACGTCTGCCTCTGGGGTTCAATCAATTCTTGTGACCTCAGGTGATCCACTTACCTCAGCCTCCCAGAGTGCTGGGAATTACAGGTGTGGGCCACCACGCCCGGCCCCATATCTTTACTTCTTTCGGTGATGGGGGCTTTTGGAGAGGTACAGGGAACCAGGAGAGGGAGGACAGAGAGGACCAAGGGGACCGGGCCTGCCCTGTTTGAGCTGAGACCTGAAGAGTGTGGGGAAGTGTTTGAAGGAGGTGAACAAAAGGCTTTATTAGGAAACCAGAAAGGAGGCTGGGCGCGGTGGTGCACACCTGTAGTCCCAGCATTTTGGGAAGCTGAGGGGAGAGGATGGCTTGAGCCCAGGAGTTTAAGACCAGCCTGGGCAATGAGTGAGACCCTATCTCTAAAAAAAAAAATTAAAAAATTTACCCAGGTGTGGTGGCATGTGCCTGTAGTCTCAGCTATTCAGGAGGCTGAGGTGGGAGGATCACTTGAGCCCAGGAGGTTGAGGCTGCAGTGAGCTATGACGGCGCCACTGCACTCCAGCCTGGGGCCAGAGCAAGACCCTGTCTTTAAAAAAAAAAAAAAAAAGAGAAAGCAAGAAAGAGAAAGAAAATACAGGCAGCGAGTGGTCAGGCTGTGGCTGTGGTACAGCACTTGGTTTTCTCCTGGGGGCACTGGAGAGCCATGGCAGATTCTGAGCAGGGGTCAGGATTGGGTTTCCAAAGACGCCTCTGACTGTGGTGCGGGCAGGGAGACCAGCTGTGTAGCAAGACACCAGGTGGCCTGGGTTAGGAGGTGGGTCAAAGAGGGAGGGGTGAAGGTTACCAACCATAGATTTAGGAGGCAATTTTCTTGGAAGGAAAGGGTGGGGTGCATGCTGGCTTGCTGACGCCACTATCAGCCACTGTCCCAAGGTTTTCTTGTGCGTGAACTCATGGAGCCTTCACTACCACCCAGTAGGGATCCTCATTGCACAACTGGGGAAACTGAGGCTGAGAGAGACGCGCTCGATGGCCCCAGATCTCACACAGCAGGTTATAGGAGCCAGCATTCAAACGCCTGGAGTCTGACTCCAGAGCTGGGGTGTTTTCACACACCTGACTCCTTAAAGCTGGAGAAGCTGAGGCTCCCAGTGGGGGTGAAGTTCCAGGTTCAAGACCACACTAGAAAAGAAGAATTGAACCCACACCTTACCATGGGACACGGCCCTGCCCATCCCCTCTGCTCCCAGCAGCGTGAGAGCTCGACCTCCGGGGAGTCCCCGTTCTGGGTTGGGCGCCACTCCTCCCTCCCTCCCTATCCGCTTTGCGCCCGAGCTGTCTCCGGACTTTAACCCTGGGCTGCCACCGGTGGCTGGCGACGCTGCCGATAAGGGGAGGTGGTTGGTGCAGAGGCCAGCAGGGCAAAATTCCCCTACTCCCGGTGCCAGGGGAGTTACCCAGGGCAGGGGCGGGGGCGGGAGAGGGTGGGGGCAGAGCAGCCGGCGGAGGAGGAGGGGGAGGCATCTGCAGCTCGACAGAGAAGTGGTATTTGCTTCTCTGTGCCTCAGTTTCCCTCTTGGTAAAATAGGCATGGTTCCTTCTATGGATGTAAGAAGGACTCAGGAACCTTTGCAAGGGCGGAGGAGTCCAACCCTCTGGTCTGACTGGGAGACAAGGTGTTCCCCAATCTGATGGTGGGGGACAAGGTGGCCCAGCACAGTGAGAAAAATAAGGAAACTAAGGAGCTCTCACCAAATCCCATGAGGGAGACAGGATTGTCCAAATCCAGTGAAGCAGATAAGAAGCTCCAGCCCCCTGCAGCAAGAACGAGTGTCCAGTCTGTATTTCCAGTCTGTCAGGGAAGGTAAGGAGCAACATTATGATGTGTGAGACAATGCATTTCTAATCTGATGGGGGAGACGGGTAGTCCTAGTCTGATGGGGGTGTTGAAGGGCTCCCATGCCTTCTGGGAGAGCTGATGAGCTTCCAAATGAATGATAGAAATGGGGAACTCCTCAAACTGGTGGGGAGACAAGGAGCCTGCTAGTCTGATGAGGGAGGTAAGAATCCCCCTGTCTGAAGTGGGAGCCAGGGTGCTCCAGTCTGAGATTCCAAAGTGAGGAAAGAGACGTGGCTTCAGTCTGAGATTCCAAGGTATGGAAAGAGACAAAGAACATACTCGCTGCAGCTCAGCCAGCTCCTTCCTGAGCCCGGGAGTCAAATGGGCCCAGGATGCCTGGCCAGGGAGCCAGGACCTAAAGACAGAGAGGATTTGCTCTCCTGACCCCGGGGCAGTTCTGTCCAGCTCTGGGCCTGATCTACTTTTGGCAAACAAAGACCTGGCTGGTGGTGTACGGGCACCACCTAGCGGTTGCCATGGGCACGCCTTCCATCTGGAACTTGGGGAGAGCGGCGGCTTGGAAGACCAGAGAAGGGCTCCTTGGACCCTCTCCCTGGGACCTGAGTCCAAGTCCCAAACTACCCCCTGAAACAGGGTTCTATGCGTCACTCCATTCACCCTGCACATGGCAGCTGGGGGAGTCTCTGGGAAGTACGAGCCTACCCCTGTCTCTCCCTTGCTCACAACTCCACGGTGGCTCCCCGGTGCCCTGGGAGGAAGTTTACACCCGGCCACAAGGCTGACTTCTTCTGAACAAGCCTCTGCTTCAGTTGAACAATGAGTAGTTTCTCAAAGGTGTCATATGCAAAACTTACCTTCAGGCCTTCGCACAGGCTGTTCCCTCTGCCAGGAACACCCTTCCCTGCCTCCTCCCCAGCATCTCTCCTACTCCTCCTTCAGGTCTTGGAGTAGATGTCTCTGCACTCGTGAGCTCCCTGGTCAGGGTCACGGTCTGGTGGGGCTGTCGTGGTCACTGTTGTGTTCCCCTGGGGCCTGACACTGACAATGCACTCCAGGGAATGTTTATTGAATGAATGAATGAATGCCAAACTAAAAGAGTTTGCCAGGGCAGTCGTAGGAGATTTTAATCAGGGCCAGGACATGGTTGGATTTAGAAGCCCCTGGGTTCCCACTTTTTTTTTTTTTTTGAGAGAAAGATGGAATCTCACTTCGTTGCCCAGGCTGGAATGCAGTGGTGTGATCTCGGCTCACTGCAACCTCCACCTCCCAAGTTCAGGCAATTCTCGTGCCTCAGCCTCCCGAGTAGCTGGGATTGTGGGTGCAGGCCACCACGCCTGGCTAATTTTTGTATTTTAGTAGAGACAGGGTTTCACCATGTTGGCCAGGCTGGTCTTGAACTCTTGACCTCAGATGATTCGCCCACCTTGGCCTCCCAGAGTGCTGGGATTACAGGCGTGAGCCGCTGCGCCTTGCTGGAAGCCCCTAGGTTCCCTCTCAACCCTGGGCTTTTGCACATACTCTTCCCTCTCCCTGCACTATTTATACCTAGTAACCCCCATTCATCCTCTAGGTATCAGATGAGCTGTCCCTTCCTCCAGGAAGCCCTCCTTGACCCCAGTCTGGGTCAGGCACCCGCTCTGAGCTCCTGCAGCCTCCTGGGCTCCTCCATCCCAGGCTGTGAATTCTACTGAGTCATTATTACCTGGGGACAAGTCTGCCTTCCCTCTGGATCTGGGAGGGCAGGGCTGGGTTCTGTTCACCCTCTCTGCCTTCTCCTCTGAGCTTACAACATCTGCCAGGACCTAAGTTCAAATCCAGACACCCCCATCTTTGGAGATCCTTAGGTAAGTGTGGGCTTCTCTTGGAGCCCCTGCTTTCTCGTGTGAAATGTGGGGAGGATGAGAAGCGTACATGGAAAGCCTCCCAGCGCTGCGGTGGGGCAGTGAAGAGATGAGATCCTGAAGTCCCCAGCTGACCATGGGCCGGGTGACTATGGGTGACCCACTTCCCCTTTTGGGGTTCATCTGGCTGGATGAATGGTAGCAGTAGCCCCATCCTGCCGGGACATTCTGGGAGGCCCGCCTGGGGCTTCCCGAGGTGGGAGGGTCAGGGACAGGCTGAGGGAAGAGGTGTCTGCTGGGTTAGGGGAAAACCAGCCTTCCCCATCATGAAACGGATGATGGGAGGGAAACAAACAAAGCTGGCTCCACCAGGTCGTGAGGGGAAGTTCGGGGAGAGGATGAGGGGGCCCCACGAGGCGGGTGAAAACCACAGTCCACAACTCGTCGCCAACTTCCCGCCTGGAGCCTGTGTGCCTCGGGTGAGGCTCCCTGCTCATTGGCCTTAAACAAGGCATATCTTCATTCCAACCTCCAACCCAGCTCTACCTGCAGGCTCTGGCCTCAGAAATGGCAGCTTCATCTTTGCAGTGGCTCAGGCTCAAAGCTTGGAGACCCCTAACTCTTCTCATCCCTTGCAGCACAATTCTGCCCCCAACAGTCTCTTTCTACATGATGGCCAGAGGGATCCTGTTAGAATCTAAATCAGGGCCAGGTATGATGGCTCACACCTGTAATCCTAGCACTTTGGGAGGCCGAGGCGGGTGGATCACTTGAGGTCAGGAGTTCGAGACCAGCCTGGCCAACATGGCAAAACCCCGTCTCTACTAAAAATACAAAAAAGCTTGGCGTGGTAGTGTGCACCTATAATCCCAGCTACTCAGGAGCCTGAGGCAGGAGAATCACTTGAACCCAGGAGGCAGAGGTTGCAGCGAGCTAAGATGGTGCCATTACACTCCAGCCTGGGAGACAAGAGCAAAACTCTGTCTCAAAAAACAAAACAAAACAACAACAAAATTAGCTGGGTGTGTTGGCACATGCCTATAATCCCAGCTACTGGGGAGGCTGAGGCAGGAGAATCACTTAAACCCCGGAGGCAGGGCGTTGTAGTGAGCCACTGCACTGCAGCCTGGGTGACAGAGCAAGGCTCCATCTTAAAAAAAAAAAAAAAAAGAACCTGAATCCGAAGAATCTGAATCCGAACCCATCCAGCCTCTGTGGCTCCTACCTCACTCGGGATGATGGCCAAAATCCTCACCATGGCCCTCAAAGCTGTTGAATCCTTGTTCCTTTTTTTTTTTTGAGAGGGAACCAACCTCTCTCTGTTGCCCAGGCTGGAGTGCAATGGCGCCATCTCAGCTCACTGCATCCTCTGCCTCCTGGGTTCAAGTGGTTCTCCTGCCTCAGGCTCCCAAGTAGCTGGGATTACAGGTTTGCAACACTACACCTGGCTAATTTTTGTATTTTTACAAAAATAGAGTCGAGGTTTCACCATATTGGCCAGGCTGGTTTCGAATTCCTGACCTCAAGTGATCCGCCCACAGCGGCCTCCTGAAGTGCTGGGATTACAGGCGTGAGCCATCACAACAGGCCATTTTTTGTCTTTTTGATGACAGCCATCCTAACTCAGGTGAAATAATACCTCATTGTGGTTTTGATTTGCGTTTCACTGATGAGTTCATGATGTTAAGTATGTTTTCATGTATTTGTTGGCCATTGTATGTCTTCTTTTGAGAAATGTCTGTTAAGATAATTTGCCCGTTTAAAAAATTATATTGTTGACCAGCCATGGCGGCTTACGCCTATAATCCTAGCACTTTAGGAGGCAGAGGTAGGAGGGCGGCTTGAAGCTGGGAGTTCGAGACCAGCCTGAGCAACACAGTGAGACCTTGTCTGCACAAAAAGTTAAAAATAGCCAGGTGTGATGGTGCACAGGGTGGTCCCAGCTACTCACTTGGGAGGCTGATGTGGGAGGATTGCTTGAACCCGGGAATTGGAGGCTGCAGTGAGCTGTAGTTGTGCCACTGCACTCCAGCCTGGATGACAGAGCAAGATGCTGTCATCAAAAAGACAAAAAAATGGCCAGTCGTGATGGCTCAATCCTATAATCCCAGCACTTTGGGAGACCGATGCGGGCTGATCACTTGAGGTCAGGAATCAAAACCAGCCTGGCCAACACGGTGAAACCCCGACTCCACTAAAAATACAAAAATTAGCTGGGCAAGGCAGTGCAAGCTGTAGTTCCAACTTCTCAGGAGGCTGAGGCAGAAGAATCACTTGAACCTGGAAGGCAGAGGTTGGAGTGACCTGAGATCATGCCACTGCACTCTAGCCTGGGTGATGGATTGAGATTCCATCTCCCCACAACCCACCCAAAAAAAAGTCAGATTTTTTTTTTCTGTTTAAATGTTTGATATATTGTGTATTCTAGATAGAGTTCAAGACCAGCTTGGCCAACATGGTGAAACCCGTCTCTACACAAATACAAACATTAGTTGGGCGTGGTGACAGGCGCCTGTAATCCCGGTTACTCAGGAGGCTGAGGCTGGAGAATCGCTTGGACCTGGGAGGTGGAGGTTGCAGTGAGCCAAGATTGCACCACTGCACTCTAGTAGCCTGGACGAGAGTGTGAGACTCCATCTCAGGAAGAAAAAAAAAAAAAAAAAAATATATATACACACACACACACACACACACACACACGCACACACACATGCATACATACACACACACACATATATATACACACACACACACATAATTAGCAGATCATGGTCATGGTGGTGAGCACTTGTAGTCCCAGCTACTTAGGAGACTGAGGCAGGAGGATTACTTGAGCCCAGGAGTTCGAGGCTGCAGTGAGCTGTGATTGTGCCGTGGTACTCCAGCCTGGGCAACAGAGCAAGACTCTGTCTCAAAAAAGAAAAAAAGAAGAAATATAAAATGTAAAGTTGGGTTAGTTGTGTAAGCGATAAACGCTGTGAAGAATAAAGCCAGACAACTTTGGGTGTACAGGGGACCCCTCTGAGGAGGTGACATTTGAGCAGAGACCTGACTGGGGTGATGCAGGTGTCTGAGGGAAGGACATTCCTGGCAGCGGGAACAGCCAGTGCAAAGGCCCTGAGGAAGGAGTTGCTTTATTTGTTCAAACAATAGCCAGGAGGCCAGGGTGGCTGTAGTGAGTGAAGGAGAGGAGAGGATGAAGGGAATGAGGGGAGGGCAGGCCTGCAGACCGTTGTAAGGGCCCTGGAGTCCGATCCAAAGGGGAGATGCTCCAGGAAATGTGACTCTACCTCTCGGCGCCTCAGTCTTCTCTTCTGAGGAACGTGCAACATGACACCTGCGTCTGAAGGTCGAGTGGGGACTCAGGGAGCTCCTGCCTCCACGGGCAGGAGACAGCCGCACAGGTGAGGCCCTTTGGCTGCACTGGTCCTGTGCAACCTTGCAGATTTGGGGTGCCCTCTCTGGACTCGGCATTCTCCACACTGTGTGTCAGGATGGGCTGAAGCTGATGGGGTTCACTCCTTGGTTCCCAAAGTCTGGCCTGCCTTGGCACCCCCTCCTCTGTCCTCCTCGTCTGTCTCCTTCCTCTTTCTTCTCCTCTTCTTCCCCCATCCCTCCTCCTCCTCCACCTCCTTCTCCCTTTTTCCCTGTTCCCCTTTTTTCCCTCCTCCACCCTCTTCCTACTCCCTTCTCTTTCCTCTTTTTTTTCTCTCTCTCCCTCCTCCCCCTTCCCTCCTCCCTGCTCTCCATCCTGAATCAACATTCCAGTCCGTGGAAAAAAACAGGGCAGGCTTCCTTCCTCTCCCTGGCAGGGCTCCAGAGAGGGACTGGGCCATTGTGTATTCTGGCCTCAAGGTCACCCCGACTCCCTGCCCTCCCCAGTGCGGTTATTTGAGAAAAGGCAGCTTGGGTAAGGGGGAAGGGATTGGGGCTGAGAGGGGTGTGATCTGCCTCCCCGCCCATGGCTGGTGGAATCTGAGGGCCCCTGGTGCCACCAGAGCTTCGTGGCTTTATGGGGGAGGCGAGGAGCCACTGTGGACCTGCTCAGGACAGCGAAGGGCGCCAGTCTCAGCCCTTGTCTGAAACCTGCTGTGTGACCCTGGACTAGTTCCTGCTCCTCTCTGGGCCAAATCCTGGCCCCCGCTCCTTTCTGGTTGAGTAACTATGGGCAAGTCACCTCCTCTTCTTTGTGGTGTCTCACTTTCCTTTTTTTTTTTTTTTTTTGGTCAAACAGTCTCTGCATCTGAGTCCCCCAACTTTCCAGCTGACAAAAATTCCCTAGACCCTTTGCTAAAAATTCTGCTTTCTGGGCGTGGTGGCCAGCACCTGTAATCTCAGCTACTCGGGAGGCTAAGGCACAAG